AGCTTCATATGCAAAAGGCAGCACTGAATTTTGCTTGATGATTGTAAAGGAATTTTCAAACAAATTGTTAGAGTATTGCAACTACAGAGAGCAAAGACATTCAGTGTGTTGCCCAAAATATTTTGATTTTTAAAAACTTCAGATCTCTTCTGCTGAACAGGTATTTTATGGGCTATTTCTTCAAGGCTTTGTTAAAAAACAATCAAGAACACACAACATAAAAGAAAAGTAGGCTTTCTTAAAAAATATGGAAGTTGAGACTTTCTTTCAAGGTCTATTAAGAACAGCTACATGATCAACAGTCACATGAAGAAACAGAAACATAGTGGACTTTTACCTAGCCAAAGGAGGAAAAATGATCAAAAAGGGGGAGTGTCTAAACCTACTGACCTTCCTGGCAAGGCTTTATAAAAACTTCTGGCTGCTGCTCACTGTGCTAAGAAACAAAAGGTTAAAACTCAATTAAAGAAGAACAGAATATTATCATGAAGCATGTGTTATTTCACGATATTTTTCCCTCTTTAATAAAGCTGAGAATTACTTATTCAGTTAAGTCTATAAGAGGTGGAAATTCACAGGCATTTAGTAAACGATATCTGACATTTTAATTTTTTAAACTCTTAGCTTTCAGTTTTGTTTAATATTAGCATTTCATAGAAAAAAAACCTTGCTAATTGCCCTAAAGAAAGAATACTGCAATCTCAAAAAGGAAAAAAGAAAAGGTAAAAACTATCTGGAAATTACACCTCCATTTTAGCCTTGTCCAGGGGAACAAAACTAAACATTCTATTTTAGCGCAGAGATTAAGCTAAAATAAATGAACGTGGAAAGAAAAGTTAAAGAAACTGAATGGATGACAGACTTAATGATCACATGAGGCAAACCCAAGAACTTGTGCTGGAATCTGGGCTGAAAAATGGATGATATTTGTCCAGCTCAGTGCCAACAAGCATGTAATTACTTTTTGACCCCCTTGAAGTTTTATCAGATTAAGGTCTTCTAAGACAGAGGCAGGTGTCTCAACTTCTCTTTCCAATTTGTGTAATCGCTACTAAAGAGATTACTGTACATTCTACTTTGATTATTAAGGAAGTATTACTGTTACTCTATTTTCTTTATGCACATTATGTTCAAAATAAGTTAAACTTGCATTTTGCACTTGATTAGCTCCAGTGCCACAGGGGGGAAAAAAACCAAACAAACATAAGAGAGAGGAAATCGACTTCTCTGCCCCAAAAGCTGACTCCTGCATACATTTGTTTCCTATGGCTGACTTCACTGGGTCAGAGTGCAAGTCATATCTCCCATGCTAGTTGTCTCCTATGTAATTTCACTTTCGGCCACTTCAAGTTGCTGAAAACACGTTTAATAAAATCATTATTCAGATTGGATTATTTAATTAATAAAACACTGAAATACTTTAAAACTTCTAATGCTGTAGGATTTTCCTTTTCATTTCACATTAACTTCCACAAATGGAAGAAGCAGAACTGCTATAAGGAACAAAAAGACACATGCTGTCTTTTGAGGTCCTGTCAGAAAAACAGAAAGTCATCTAAAATATACGATTACTTAAAAGACATGCAAAAGCTATCACTGACACTGGACCTGGGTTTTATTTTCTAAATAGTGTTCTTTTGACAATAAAACTGTTTCTGTAAGACGTTTTAATAAACTAATAGTGCTCTGAGCCAAGAGCAAATACCTGACAGTTTTAGATTTGCAGGTAGTTTTAATAAGATGACACTGCTCTAAAAATAATAATAATAATAATCAACTGTTCATTTGAGCTGTATCCTGTAAAGAAAAAAAAGCTTTTAAAAATACCTTTGGATACTATAAAAGAAATAGGATCTGACTTTCCTCTTCCCAAGCTGAGGCTAAGAAATTTTAAGTGGACTTGCTATGTACAACATATCTAACCATATCCTAAAAGCTGTACTTTTAGGGACATTACTGTAAGTTATGAACAGTTGCTGAGCCAATTTTTGTTTCAGGTAAGAGAAAGTATTGCAAATTTATTTGAAAAAGTGCACGCCAGTGTCACTGTTTTGAATTCATCAAAGCACATTTTGGACAGACTGCTTATCTATTCAAGACACTTTTAAAGTGAACTCCTACTAAATTCACAATGTAGGAATTAGGAATACATGTATTCTGAATAAAAAGAACTTCACCTGACAAATTAAGAAAAAAGTGAGAGGGAGAGAGAAAGAACAGGGTGCACAGCGGAGTCCAGACGTAGAGATCTAGTGCACCTCATAAAGCCTGACAGCATAGTATGTCAGGCAAGGAAAGCCTCAGGTACTACAGCCAAGTTTTGCCTGTTCCTATGATGTGATTTAGTGCCTCAGAACCACGGAGCTTTGCAGTGCGTGGACAACTCACAGTGTCAAGTGAAAGGAACAGATCTGTCATCGTTCGCTGCCAGGAGCAGCCCAAAGCAGGGACATTTTCAGTCTTCGACAATGATTACTGTTACTAATTCTACTGTAAAATACGCAAAGCATCTGCATGGGGACCTCAGCAAAGTGCTGCCAAGACAGCACTTGCTTTGTGCTGTTGCTCCTGGTGTCTGGTTAAGGCGATGATGAGACAGATCGTATGACTTAAGCCATTGCAAGACCTCATCACTTTTCATGGGAGAACGGAAAAGTGCTGATCCTGAGGCTTTTATGCTGAGGGAAAGCAGATAAAAATCTGCAGGTGTAACTTAAAAAATTGGTGTGAGAAGCATAAAATAGAGTAAATAAGGCTGAGTTTTCTTCTTCTTTTTTTTTTTTTTAAATAAAAAACAAAGATAAAGCATGTGATAGTAATTAAATAAAAATAAGAATATAGTGTATAACTGCAGAAGCTCACATTGTAAATTAACGTGGACAGCATTTCAATTTCCAGGCTATCTGTTGTTTTAAAGCTAAAACTAATATTGATATAAAGTGGTACAAAGATGTATGAATGTAACCATTTTTTTTTTTTTTTTTTTTCCCCTTTTCCAAAGAAAAACAACTAGTAATAACTGAGTGTAACTCGGTCTGCCTCTCTCTCTGGAGAGGCATAATCATTCTGGATATATGAAAATAGATTGCTCATTCTGATCCACTATTGTTTTATACTCTTTGGGGCCCGCTTCTCAGCTGGTGATAATCAATGGCATTAGTCACTGAAATACAGGGAGCTGATTTCCATTGTCAAGGGTTCTGGCCTTGAGTAACACTCATATCACCTACTTAATTATTTTCCTAGTAGCAGCAAACTTAACAACGCTTGAATAAGAAGTTGCCTTCTCTCACCCGATGCACTGGGGAAAGCTCAGAAACACTATCCATAAGATGCTAAATCACACCAAGAGCAGCCAGTGGAAGATGTAAAGTTGAGGTTATGACCCTAGATCCCCTAAACACTTGAGTTTTCACTTTGTAATCTCTTCAAACATTTTGCGGAGCTGCTGCGAAACTCATGGCTTAGAGCCAAGGCAAGAACAGTTTTGACTTCTGACTGCATCTTCAACCATCACCAAGATGTCCATCTTTTTCTAATCTGTATTTTCTTGGTCTGACTTACTATGCCTGACATTAGAAGTCTGATAAAACTGTGTGGAGTTTACCTGGTCTGTTCTACTTCGTGCAGAAAAATATTTCTAACACACATAGAATATTATTTTATTTAGTCAAATGTCAATTGGCCCCATTTTATTTGAATTACCTGTCTGAAAAAAAAAAAACCAAAACAGAAATTGGCTGCATTTAAGAGCTAAGTAGCATCTTCATTCCAATTCCAGATGTCTAAAGGGAGCATGAATTTGATACAAATTCCATTATTCAGTCACAATACTGTTAACAGAGGAGAAGCAGGGTTTATCAGTGTTGTCAGCATGATTATACAGCTCTCTCATTTGCCTTACCTCAGAGAACATACACAGCATGGTCTTGATCAGGTTTGTCATCTTCTCAATGCCTTGGCCATGATGACAGTCAAAATGAATGAACAGATCGGCACTTTGAAGTGCTCATTGATATCTTGAGGTCAGATGTTTTTTGCATGTATTTGGACCATTTCCAGACATATGGGAGGCAGCAAGAGCAATGGTAGCACAAGTGTCTCTGCCAGTCTTCCTCAGCTCTCTCTGGCACCTTCAGTGAACAGCCTGATTAACATGTACCAGGAGTTAATGCATAAGATTGCTAGCTTTTTTTCAGGTAATGAAGAGCTATTACATCAAAGCAGTTTGGGGGGCATTGCTTGAATTGTCTTGCTGAATCTGAACCAGCTATCAAGTTATTCCTCCCACACAGAGCAGAACAGCTTGGTCCTGCTGTTCAGGGGTCCTTGCCAGCTGTAGAGACAGGAAAGAATTGTCCCCCAACCCCCCTCTCCCCCCTTCACTTTTGCATGCTCCTTTTACTCCTGATCTTTAACTGTACAAGTTTGATAAAATTTGCAGCTTGGGAAAAAATGCAATTCAAGAGAACTCTGAAAGAAAAAGAACAAAGATGAAAAGAATCAGTAAGTATAAGCAAGCCATGTAGATGTGCAGAGATTTTATCAGTATGAATATTCAAGAAGAGAAAATTCTGAAAGTCTTCATCTGTTTAATTTTTTTATTTTTTTTTTAAGTTTTTGTTTTTATTCAAGTAAGTGTATCCTGAAACAAAAGAATAACTCCAAGAAGAGTTACAATTGCAAAGATATCACAGTTTTCTTCTTAACAAGGTGTTACACCAAACAGAAGTCAATGAGAATGGTTGGATGAGATGATCTCCAGAGATCCCTTCTGACCCCTATTATTCTGTGAGAATCTGCCTAAGGAAAAACCTAGGAAGTGTACTATGCTGATGTAAAAATTTATAAGATAGTAACAGTCTAAGGCATATGAATTTAACTGAAGTCTATACTTTAAGAAAAAAAAAAAGACAGTTGAGCAAATCTTTTTCAACTTTAGATCTAGTAGTTACATTTTTCTGATATTTAATTTCTCTCTCCCCCCTCCTCTCATCCAGTCACAGGCTTTGCAGACCAGTATGTGAAACTATAAGACCCTCAACAAAACCAATGGCTGGCTCAACTCTAGAACAGTCCCTGGAAACCAGTGTGGATGCAGCAAGAACCGAAAAGACTGTATTATGCCTTAAAGAGATGAGATGTGCACCCTCAGTAAAGTAATACACCCAAGTAACAAGGCTAATCAGCAAAGATTTTGTACTATTTCCATAATGAAAGTCCACTGTTGTGAAGAACTTTTCCTCCTCAAAGCCCAAGGCTTCATGTTTTGTATATTGTTCCTGCCAAAGATTCGTGCCAAAGTCCCTTGATGGAAGCAGGCCACCTCAGCCACTGTCCACAACATACGTGCACCTTCCAACTTTCAGCCAGAAGTTAATTGGTTCTCTTCAGCAGCTCTGGTAGCTAACAAGTCTAACAAACATCACATGCTACTGCTTGGCTTCCCTCTGTATCATAACCCTACTGCTTTCAAAGCCAATCAAACATCCCACAAATACAAGTGCTTTTTCTATGGTCAGTTTAAGATGTTAGGTGATGCTAAAAAGAGGTTTCAAAACACAAACACTATGAGCCAGTGGACTGCCACTTAGTACATAATAGCTTGTATTTACTTGATTCGATGGTTTGCGCCTACTTACTTAATGAGTCATGTAGAATATTTTTGAATGTGTTTACAACAAAATGCAAAAGCCTAACCAAAGCAATTGTCTAAATTAACCCACTATGAAGGCAGTCTTCAAGTCAGTCACACAAAGAAATCAGAGCTCTTTCTATATATGTTGTGCTGCAAAACAAAAACCAACCAACCAACAAACCCAAAACATGACTAAGTATCCATAAGGGCAACATACACTGAGGAAAGACATGAAACAGCCAAATGTAAGTGAACATCAATGCCTTGTATTCAAGACACTTAAAAATTTCCAGTTAAACTCTTGAAGAAAAACACAAAAGACAGGTAATTCCAGAGATATACAGGATCCAATCCAAAAAGAGCTTTGTACATCAAAGACAGCAGTTGTATTGAACCCATAAATAAAAGGCAAGTCTGAAGCAGGTCAAGATACCAGGGGGTCAGGGATACCTGCAAACAAACTACAGTAATAGATTTAAAACGTGACAGGTGTGTGTTGCAATTTTTACATCCAATAATTGCTTGACAAGAATGAAAGAAATTACATCTTCCTTCCCTAATGATGGGTGACTTGCAGGTACAGAAATGTGACTGTAAAAATGAATAACACCAAGCTAATATTTTTTGGATACACTGCACAGTTGAATTGTTAGCAATACTCATCTCCATGCAACCTGTTTGCATCTTACTCTGAGTGGTTCCATCACACTCTTTTTACAATCCCATTACTAACTCTGGTCAGGATCTTCTTGAAAAAGAAAAAAAATCACCCTCTTGCCAGTGAATGCACACCTAACCTCTTGGCAAATAGCATTCAATGAGACTCTACAGATTCTCCAGCCTGCCTACCCCACTTTAAAATTAGGTAGCTTTACTTACACCCTGATTGCACCATCTCATTTAACCTGTTGCAGATATGACAAAATGCTAACAATTTACAGGTTAAACTCTCTATTGCTGGCTTATATAGATTTGAGAACTGCTATCATTGCTATCATGCTCTGCTCTTGCTCCTTCATTCCTCACTTTCTTTGCCACACTGAACAACCCAGATCTTTTGCCCTTTCCATTAGACCCTGGATTTTGAGTCTTCTGCCAGCCTTACTGTTCTCCTTTGGACTGTCTCCAGGTGGTCTCAGGGTGGGGAGTAAGAGGCAGAGAAAGGGAAAGAAAGAAGCGGGAAAAGACTGCAACTGCACCTCTCTGCTTGCTGACAGAAGGATCTGACCAGGCACAATGAGAATGGAGTTCACTGAAGACAAGGATTTTTCCCCTCAGAACCAAAGATGAAGTGGAAGGGTGAGACGTAATTCAATTTATTTTCTGTGCATGTGCACTGATCATTACAGGAGCATTACTAAAAGTAACTTGCCAGGTTGCAAATTTGCCTTTTGTAGCCAAATATTAGAGAAATAGCTTCAATAGAATTTTTGGTTTAGCTGTTAACGAGAGCTCTCTACTTTGGCACTGAAAAATGGCCCTTCCAACACACACAGGATTTGGAGCACACTGAAAGATGCCTTTATTGCAAGAAAAAGAAAATGCTCTCATTGTCTTTGCATGAATTTGGTTTGGAAGACACAAGTACTCCAGGCAGCTGGAAGCGAGGGATATCTTCAAGGAGGAATAACAAATCAAAACTCCTTTCAAAAGCCCAGTTCAGTCTAGAAGATGTCAGAACCTTTGTACGCAATCTAAGGGGCCATTTTCTATCTAATCTGCAGATAAATCAAAATAGCTCAGCGGGCCACTACCATTTACTTATTTTATCTCCACGTGGGTTTACAGACAGGTTACAGTAACAACTGCTTTTCTGATGGGCTCTTGACTTATTAATCTCAATGGTAGACTTTTCTGCATGCGTAACTTCCCCCACATGCATTCTCTGCCCCTTAAACAATACCCCAGTGAGATTTGAAAGTTTATTTTTAAAAAAAATTAGCCTGAAACTTTTTCCATTGAAAGAAAAAATCTTGATCATAGAAAGAACTTTTATCAGAGGAAAGTTCCTGATCTTTCCCTGAAAAAGTTATTTCCTCCTGCAAATCTCACTATGAAGTAAAAAAAGTCATCAAAAATATTTCAGCATTTGCAGAACTTAAAAACTACAATTGCTATAAAAATTATAATTTGTATAATTTCTTGATCTGATCACACATTTGAACATACGCCTTCTTGTTAATTAATATTTTTTCTTTTTTCCTTCCTTTCTTTTTTTCCCCTGCATCATTTCCTAAAATGAAATAGCCCTCACAGTGCCAAGCTTTTGGTTCTCTCAGAATATTCTTTTTCTGAGCAGCTTTTTGACGTGCGCTTTTTCTGCTTTGCTCTATTCTCAGTCAAGCATGCAAGAACTGAGCAAGACAAGACAGAATAATTATTCACAAATGGACAGGAGAACATTCCAGGATTCATTTTCCAACTTGTGTGGAATTGGATACAGTTGCTGAAGAGGCTCAGAAAGCTCTTCAGCCACCACTTTTGAGTCTGACAGAGATCGTGAATCAGAGCCCTCAGCTGCTGCAGTTCACAGCCAGGGATATTTGTGTAAACTGAAATCAATAATGATTTAAAAGGAGGTACCAGGCCCTGGGCTCTGAGCATGCCACCCAGTCGGCTGCCATGACAGAGAGGGGATGAATCACCAAGACAGGAATCTCTGACCCCACCTCTCTGTAAATTGTCAGAGCTCTTGATCCTGCACCCTTGGATATCAGCCTCATCCTGAGCTGCACCACTGTCAACATTGAAGCTTAAAACCAAAGGGATCTACAGCATACCTACACCAGAGTTCTGTATTTTTTAAAATAAAAGAAAGACTCCATGTGTGAAATAATACTTTTAGTCTAAAGAGATTGCTGTTGTATATATGACACTTCCAATAGTTTGCAATTGCTTGTATTAAATTCTGGAAACATGACCCCAGAATAAATTTATATTACAAATTCACGTGTTCAACTAGTTTTAATGTGTGAGAAAGTTGATTGACAGAGTTTTAAATAGGGTATATTAAAATGACTTTTGATACTGCTATTACTACAAATAGAAAACCTGAGAACAAAACAGGTGTGGTTAACAGAGTGACAAAATTGGTGCATTTCCAATTGAGATTCTTCCAGATTGGAAGAATGTTTTACTAATAACTTTGTTGAAAACCTATGGCAGAATCTGCTGAACTTGTCATTTTCAGCAATCACACTCCTCTCTCTCTCTCTCTTTTTTTTTTTTTTTAAAGACAGCTGAAAGAGCATGCAATTGTTTTAGGAACTTTTTTTTCCCCTCCAAGTTGCAGAGTCTTGCCTCAATGGAAATGTCAAGAAATATGATTTGGTGAACCAACTGTTTGAAACAGCCCAATCCGTAAAAATCTGGAGTTTGAGATAAGAGGGAAGGTCTTACTTCTTTCTACAGCTTTAGAAGATAAAATTCACAATCTTAGATAAAAGGTCAAATTTATCTTTTACTCATATGCCTGTCAAAACATAACTCAGTATCAATAAAGTCAGATGCAACTTTTCAATGAAGTCTTATTACACACATGTGGATGTTATCTTCAACACTAATCTTTTGGCACGATACACAGCACATTGTAACTACTGCAGATCTGATTCTTAGGTCATATTGAAGTAATTTGTTATTTATTCCATTGGACCTGCTAGAATTAGACAAATGGGCTAATCAGAATATGTATCTTTCAAATCTGTGAGCACTTCCCTATTACTGAATCTTTCATTTTCACGCCTCCCCAAACTTTGCCCGAATAGAAATTAAGATACCATGGCTGAAACTGAGAAGTTCATAAGTCTATAAAAGGCGCACGACTGGTATTCTCTACGTGATGGCAAATCACACTGCTTTGTGTTCATTACAATACTTTTACAAGAGTTGCTATGTAAAAAGAAAATACTGACGATCATTTAACAGAGTAAGAATTCACTTAAATGAACTGCCAGAAGAACAGAACTCTTAAAATAATTGATTTTTCACCCACATAAGATGAAAAATGCATAACACTGTACAATGAAGCCCGTTTGAGCAAAAGTCATTTTCTGTCCATTAAAAGAAACATAAAATACATTGGGGTACTTAATTAAAGTCTTAGGAGAACTGATCTTCATACCATAAATTTCTAACACAGAGAAATCTTAGCAAAATATCAAGATTTATGCTTTTCCTAAACCTATAGGGCTCCAAAATATTTTACAAGCGTAGAAAATTAGCATCTACCACACTTGGAAGAATACCACCATCTCCAAAAAAAAAATAATAATAATAATTCTTAACAGTTGCTGCCTCAGTGTTTCTGCCAGCATGCTGATGCATTACATTTGCTGAATGTATGGAGTGATTTGAAAATGACAGCTATCTCATGACAGGCAATACCAGCAGACAGCCTTTGAAAAAAAAAAAATAAAAAATCCATACTGACCTCACCTCCATCCAACACCTATTGACAGTTGTCACTCAAACTCTGATATCACATAAACACTTTCCGATCTGCAGCTTAACTTTCCATAGTAGGGCAAAATCCTGTTAACTTCTGACCCACCTCTCAGACATCCATTCTGCTATATTCATGTTTGCAAACCGCTGACAGTTTTTCAAAGCAGAGCATGTATGGCTT